GTGTGTGTGTGTGTGTTACCACATGTACTGTGTTTGTGAGTGCTCATATGTTTTTATTTATGTGCGCACGTCTTGGCGTGTGTTGCACGCAGTGCTGCAGAGAAGGGCACAGCTGTAGCACAATAATATTCCCCATGTAGAGTGACCTACATACAGGGGACCCCAATGGGTGTCCAGACATACTTGGCTTGTGTGTGTTTTCGTGTGCATGTGAGGGTGTACAGAAAGGAGTGCTGTATGCGTGTGTCACTGTGTCTTTGTGTCCCTTCAGATGCTCAGCTGTGTGTTGGCAGCTGTGTGCCTCCCTTGAGTTTTCGAAGAAACTTGTTTGTTGTTTTGGCCTTCAGCTTTTTAACTTCCTCCATCAGTCCTTCAGTCTGTCAGGAGGATATAAATAGACAAAAGCAGAGGAAATGTGTTTCCAGCTTCATATTGCTTATACTTCTGCTGCACTCAGCTCATCTGAGGATATATTTCCCCCTGGGTAATTGTATCTGTTACACCAGTGACCTCAGATGAGATTATAATTACCAACTTGTAATGTGAGGGGTAACAAATCAACCAAATATTTTGAAATGTCACAATTCTAACAACATTTTGGTATTGATAGATTTTGCATTCTAGGTCGACTGCATACACAATAAGTGAGTGCAGATTTTGGGGTCCATGCAAACTTTCTTTCCTTGTCATATTGCAGGTTATTGATGGTTATTAATAATGGTTCTATTTAAGTGTCCCAGCAAGTCATGACAGTGTTACAGTGAGCCAGCAAGTACAATACCAGGACCCTGAAACTGAAGCTGCTAAATGGAATTATGCCATAAATTTACACCTTTGATTTTCTTACTGGGATACAGGAAAAAAGATGCCTATGTGGCTTCCAGAGACCCTAAATTTTAGACTGTACTCTGAACTTATTTTTCAAAACATCAACCGACTTGGTGCCCTTATTGCCACTGAATCTCTTTGCATGCCAGCACAGAATAATTTGCTCTAGTTATACTTGCAGAGTGGTTTTATTATCTGTGTAACTCACTTGTACCAGCCATTAATTGCACATTAAGGATGATCAACAAAAGTCTGGATCAGAAGTCAGCAGCCTTAGGCACACAGGAGCTTAATCAATGGAAGAGTGTAAGAGAGGTTTTCGGAAATGTTGAAGTGCCCTCTCATTCGCATACCAAATTACCTCTTTTACAGCCATTGGCACTCCTTGTCCTATTAAAGCACCTCATGGCTGCATATAGGATTTAAACTCAGATGCAGATATTCTCACATATTTTCAGACAAATGTCTTTTTGAATGTTACAATGCAGATACGTTGGAGGATTTCATTTTAATTTATCATGACATCACCCATTCTATAGCCTCGAGACCGACATTATGGCCATTGCCATGATGTTTTTTCAGGGCCAGTAGAAGTGACGTACTGCAAGTTGAGCTGCATTAGTACAACTAAAATGCTTTATTATGTTTAGCAGCAAGTTGCTACCTTTGTCTGTCAGCTTGTGCAAACTTCAGATTATATCTTCAGAGTCACTTGCGAACTCTTTTCAGTGATCAGCTTGAGTAAGAAGTCTTTCTGCAGCCGAACTTATCCAAACTCAAATTTTAATTTAAGTCAAAGTTAATTTAGTTCAATTTCCTCTGCAAACTAACTTCTCTGCAACCTGATCGTGTCCACACAGCTAATTGGCTGCTTAATCTTATACAAGCCAGGCTAATTATCTCTACTGTTTCAGATTTAATTTGTAGGTATTGACTACATTGATATTGATATAACAGCTTCTCTATTTTATTTATTTTTTTAATCAGACTTTGATAATGTTAAAGCGAAAGTGCACTTACAAGCGCTTCAAAGTGCATAATCACACCTCATTTTAATCGGTTATCAACCCCCCTTGTGGATAGCTTGATTTGATGGATTCCAGTGCTGTGAGTTTTTGTTTTTTTCTCTCTCTCTGAGACACACTGCGCTTATGTAAATGTATTTAGTCAGGAAAAAAAAACATTACATGTGTTTGACTTCCCATAATTACCAAGACTCCTTGGGGAGAGATTTAAATGCTGGTGATTACTTTGTTTGATTGCTTATACTGTGTGTAAGCATGTGTATGGTGTGTATATATGTGTGTGTTCCAAGAGTCTAGAGTGTGTGTGTGTATGGCTCCACTGCACCCCTTTAACCTTGTTTGCGTACACAGCATTCACTTTCTGACCTATTATCAGTTCTCTGAGAGTGCTGACAGTGAAAAATGAGGACATTAATGACAAAATATCTATTGTAAAAACCAAAATAAGCTGAAATATCTGCAGTTCAGAAGACTCTAAATCATTCAAAGGACTGAACAAGTTAGCTTGTGAGATCTTCATTACCGAAACCCTCTGAAGCTGCTCCCCTAACGGCAAGAATTGAAATCCTTTCCTGCAAGAAATGTTCACAGCAGTCCAGGTGATGTAAGCCTCCCCAGTATGAGCCTGTCAAAGATCGGCCTGTTTAGTGTGAGTACAGAACAGATAAAAGTTTAATGATCCTTGTGGTAGAAATTGGGTCAACCAACTTCTCTTTCATCAGACCACCAACTTTCGATCTCTCCAGACCACCTCATCTATTCTCAAACCATCTGCTGTTGGAGAAATGACCTCTGCCAGTTTTTTTTCTTCTTTTTTTTTATGTCTTTCTGGGAGTCGATAGTTCAAATCCTCAGACTGGCTGAAGTAAATCTGGTAGGGGGAAAGTAAATAAGTAGCAATTTCCTGTCCCTTAACGACTGCGTGGAGCTGCCTTTGAGCAGTGAACTGAACCTTCAGCTCTGATAGTGCAGCTGCTTAGTGGCCACCAGCAGAGGAGTGGGGTTGTATTGATTCCTATGTAACCGTATGAATAAAGCAGAGTTGCTTTGAGAAGAAAAAACTTTCTCTGGGTAACAAATGTGTGTACTTTGTGTGTGTTCAGATCCGTGCCGGCGGGTTTGAATATTCCCCCGGGACTCTTCACATCTACTCCGACAGCCTGCTGACGCTTCCCGCAATTATCGGCATTGGAGGGGGCGGTGGCCTGCTTCTGTTGGTCATCATCGCTGTGCTGATTGCCTATAAGAGGAAGTCCAGGGATGCCGACCGCACTTTGAAACGTCTGCAGCTCCAGATGGACAACCTGGAGTCCAGAGTGGCCCTGGAATGTAAAGAAGGTAGGAAAACAGGAAACAGTGTATATGAACCTTTATCCACACCAAAATTAAGTATATAGAAAATAGATGAAGTGGGTATCTAACATCTTTAATCTGGCCATCGACAGCCAAGCGATCTTTGTAGTCCCCAGAGTCTTGGTTGGAGCCGCTGTAAATCACCTTGTTACTGTATCAAACTGGTCCAACTAAACCCGAGAATTCTCAGAATTAGATGTTAACACATTCTGACTCTACAGCATATTTTCCTCTTAGTGTTTCATTGACTCAGTGGGTGTGATGTTACTATGGAGCTTATGTCTGTCACTGAGCTCTCATTCTTCGGAGGCAGACCATTAAATTAGCAAAATAAAATGACAAAAATCACCAGCAATGGACATGCAGATGGCTGATATATTCGTCCACCCTAGTGTGTAGTGGCTTATAAATAAGGTAGATCCCTACCATCAAGACAACAATTCAGGAATGCTTGATTATTTTTGCTTTGCATGGGAACAAGTACATTATTCCACTCCTCTACACCCAGTACACAACTGCCACCAAAACAAATCAAATGCTGCCATATGAACAGCATGATGTGTCCACCTCTGTATGTTTTCACTCACAGTTATGCCACACTGACACGACACACATATGGGTGACATATTAATTGAATAAGGTTTTGTGTGGCGCTCTACTAAACTTGCAGCTGGAGACCAAATTAGAGAGCACGCGAGAATCCATCTTGTCCGGCCTCGAGCTATGCGTTTGTGTCCAAACCACAGCAGTACCGGACCAATCAGCATCTTATCAGGAAGTACTGGCAGCTGCAGCATGAGATGCTGGCGTGGTTTTATGCTATGCATGTGTGACAGCGTGTGTGAGAAGTGACTGTTTGCTTGAAAACAACAATGGTGGCTGCTAGGTAAGTGTAGATGCTGCTAGCATCAGTTACATCAGAACTGGAGAGTATTTCTTTGTTGAAAGTAGAGCTAAGAATGGCACTGAAGGCTTTTCTCCATGGAAAAGATCTTTTGACTACACGGCTAGTATGTTGATCTGAGTGGTGGAAGTTCACGCGTAATAGACGGTGATATATCGTTAATCCAATCGCCTGGCCTGCATTTTTTAAAAGTGCCTGCCCTCTTCCAAACAGTTTCCAACAACAGCTTCCCAGATAGTGCAGTGCTGAGTCAGGTTAGTACTCTACTGTAGGGATGGAGAACCAATCCTTCAAAAGACTGTCCCCTTATTTGCTGTTTTGATGATGGTGATCAAGAGCACTGTCTAACATGTCGCTCATCTGTCCATACCTCAGAATGAACCCAAACCACAACAGTGAAAAAGACAGAGAGCATACAAAGTTTCAGGAGGTAGATAGTCAGAAGAGGCCGTATGATGTCAAAGTAACAAGGGGAATGTTTGCAGAGAAACGAGAGGTAAAAAGAGTGAGAGGTAAATGAGAGAGAAACATTAGGACAAGAGACTGAGAGGCAGACTGAGTGCTGAGAGGGAGCTTATTGAGGTTTTTAGTAGCAGAGTGTAGATGACTGATGTAAGGACAGCTCAGGTGTTTACACTCAATATAATGACACAGGCACACAGAGCCATGGTACAAGGTTATAATATGATTACACCACAGTCATGACACAGACTCAGAGCTCTATCAGCCACCAAGGATCAGCTGTCAAAAAAAAAACAGCAACAGCTTTTGATTTAAAGTGCTACACTGCTCCCCACTTTTCTGACATTTTCAGAAAATGTGTTCCTACCTTGTTGTAGTGCCTCATTGTTACTAGAAAAGCCCTGTTCTATTCTCAATGAGAAACCAGACTGTGATCGAGTCAATAGAAATGAAAGCACTTACTTTTCCACGGAGTGAAGCATGGCCTTATTCCCACCCCAACCCCCACACCCCGCAAAAAAGCACCCCGCCCCGCCTGCTGCACTCCCAGCTGGCCTATAGGGACGAGACAGTGTGTGTGGGCGGAGGAACAGATGAAGTGGGCGGTCCGCTGTGTGTGTGGAAGTGTATTTGCATATGAGATCGGCTTCGCTCTGAGAGTCTTGAGGAGAAGAGACGGGGGACGTTTGGTTCACTCGTCCGTGAGAAGCAGACCTCGCATTGTACACTATCATCCACACTAGCATATTAGCAGCCATGGATAATTAGTTACACATTATGAATGACAGCCGCTGACTGGCAAATGTCACTGTTTAGTTCAGGGGAGGTAATGTAGATGTTTTTTTCTTTATGACCATATAAAAGCAAACAAAATGCCAATGATCTTTCAAACAGATTCATGGGCAAAGTACTGTTTATGTGCCAATATAAGTACATTCAATACTGTGGCTTCATTTCCCACACTTTGTGTTTATCAAGGTATTTTCTTTGTGTACTCAAATCAGAAACATATGAGGACTTTCCCAGGAAAGAACTGCCAGACACAGTGTATACAGCAGTCAGAGTGAAAGCTCTTTATCAACTGGATATAACATCTTGTTCCAGCAACTGGTGATCGCGAGACATTAAATGCTATGAAGATAATATGATGTGAGTTTTTAACTTATGCGTTCCTACTTTTACCATCAGTTAGTGTATGTCAAATATTTGGGAAACTCTTCAGTAATTTCTTTGAAAGCATTATGATGGTGTGTGTTTGTCTTCATTGGATTGTTGGCTCGGCACACCTTTTGCAGTTCTGACTACTTCATACAGAGATCATAATATATCACAATATTAGTGTGATGTTAGTCAGCAAAAATTTTCTCCCCAAATAAAACATCCTGAGCTTGGCAAGATAACCTAATGTCTTGATGAACAGTGTTCAGTTCTCGCAGCAGGAAATCCATTAGAATATAAAACTGAAAAAAACCCAGGCCCAGTGTGTAACATTAAGGAGAATCTATTGGCAGAAATGGAATATAATATTCATAGCATTGACAGTATATATAATGGAGCGAGCTTCCAGGTCTAAAAAGTGAAGCCAATGCGGAAGTGTCTCAAAACCTGCATTCTACGTAGAGGCCAGCGGGGGGAGCTCCATTGGCTCCAATAACGCACTGATACCATTCATTCTAATGGAGAATGAGCCAACTTCTCATCTCATTTATGAGCTCAGTTAACAGTTTTTTCATACATTATGATGTTCATTTATTAAATTATGGTCTAATTTAGAGTAAAATAGATGATAACGCAGGGTATGCACAGATCAACCAGTAGTACATCACCTCCGCTGGCTCCATCAAACTATCATGGTGAAGACCATAAGGAAAGCTATATTCAGTTGTTTCAATCTGCAACTTCACCACTAGATGCAACTAAATTCCACCCACACAGGCTCTCAAAAATATTATTTTTCAGCGAGACCGATAATTTATTTTCATGATAATAAAATGGCACAAATGAAAAAGCTACTAGGACATGTTTGTGGTCTTGTGGTCTCATCCCTATCACTAAGTCCCTTTTTAAGCAGAACATTTTACCATCAGAGCAACAAATCCAAAATCTATTGATGGATAGAAGAGAAGAGTTTCCACGACAGTGTCTTTTTCTGTTCCCTTTTTATCCCCTCTCTTCCTTTTCACTTGTCATTCTGCCTTTATCTCCTATTCTGCTTCTTCTGCTGCGTATTTTGGTTTTTCTCTCATCTCACCTTCTCTACCTCCCACTTCTTCTCAGGCGTGACCTTTACCTGCTGATCTTCAGCTCTTCTTTCTTTAAGTCCTAATCACTTGTGTCCTCGTATCTTTAAATGTCCTGGTTCCTCTCTGTTTTACCATCCTTGCTGGTGTACCTCCTGATCTTCCGTTTTTTTGCCTTCTTTCCTTTTTTTGCCTTCTTTCCTTTATCTTCCTTGCTTCCTCTCCTCTCCATCTCTCTTGTGGACCAAACAGTCCAATAACAGCTGGGAGAAATTATGCATGAAAACTCATCCGTCGCTCTCTTAATAATTATCCACTCATGCAATTAATTGACTTTCCTTTCCAGGAACTTTGTTTTCTGTCTCCTAGTTCTGCTTTTCTCTCCCTGAGCTAGCTTTCCCTTTTTATTTCATTGTATTTTGGTCTTTTTTGGACCAGCAAAGGTAGAATTTGTCGGGGGCTAAGGCACCAAGAAAGCAATTCAGTTCACAGAATTTTTAGCCCTGTCTTTCAATAAAATGTAGATGTGGAAGTGTTATACCCGGATGTGTACACTAAAACATTTCTAAGTTATACACAGAATTGTAGAGAAATTACATGCTCTTTCAACCACACATAATAACATGTCCTATGGTAAAAGTAACTGAATTACTGATTCTAAACCTGTTATTATACTTGATTGTCTACCCACCTTCCTTTATGCTTTTGTCTTGTCTGTGCTTTAGTTCTTATTTATCGCCTTGTGGGCCTCTTTCCTCATCATAGCTGACCTTTACAGTCTCAGTCTCTTCTCTGTCTAGCCTTTTTTATAAGACCCAGACACTCTACCTGAAATTATGCAATGTTTGCGCCTTCCCTTCTTTGTCTCTGGCAGGCTCCTCATCTGACCCATATATCGTGTTTACAGTGCTGTCGTCTCACTGTCATACACTTGCACCAAACTTTTTTTGGGTCTAACATAATGTAGGAGCATCATATAATTACTGATTTACTCTTCCAACCTTTTGATGCTTTTTATGCAGTAATGAAGTTGAGATTACCGGTGTTACAGTCTGCTATCATCAAGCTGGTAGAACTTGTCTCTTTCTAATTCAACAAAGGAAATTCTTGCTGGCAATGCAATGTTTTCTAGGGCTTCCTGAAGTATGCCGTACTGGGGCCAGTTTCACCAAAGAGATTTGAAAGCACTGCTTACTTGAAGATCGCAAATGGGGACTGTGGCACAATTCACAAATCTCACACTTGCCTGGGGAGCATGACATTTGTTTCAAAAAGTGCAATGTCTCAAAATTAACATCTTATGTAGCAAATTGTGAAATGTGTCTTTGGACTTTCAAAAACAAACCTTGCGATGCACAGGTGGTCCAGGTCCAAAATGTGTGCTCACCACTGCTCTCGCAGTTTTCGATTCCAACCAATACAATTGAAATTTTTCACAAGTGGGAAGCTAGTGGGGGATCATGTCATTGTTACTGCACTACTGGTCAAACTCCTCACTGGCAGCAAAAAATAAATGGCTGGTGACATTATATCCTCCCCAAGTCAACAGTGGAGTGCTAATTGAAATGTTCAGTCCAAATGTGGGCTACTTGCAGGGGCAAATGCGGACACGAGAAAAATCCCAAGATCCATGATTATTATAAATCATTCCACAATGCAATATGATGTTCAATAGTAGTGCTGTTCCTACTGTATGTCTATACAAACACATCATTATTCATTATTCACCCATTCTAACCTCTATTTTCCATTTGCATCTTTTCTCATAGCTTTTGCCGAGCTTCAGACAGACATCCACGAGCTGACCCAGGAGCTGGACGGAGCTGGGATTCCCTTCTTGGACTATCGGACTTACGCAATGAGGGTCCTGTTCCCAGGCATTGAAGACCACCCTGTGCTCAAGGAGATGGAGGTACGGGTCAGTACACTACCAACCAAGCTTGAAACAGAAACAAACTCACCATAATTAATTAAACATGGTAGAACTGCTTTTGCATTACTACATTTACATCAGAAGTAGAAACAGTAGCTGCTTATGCTAACTGCAACTAGTTCACCTCAGCAAGATGCTACATCTAGAGAAGTATTTTTGAGAAGTATTTTGAAAGTTGGATTTAATGGCATGAAAATGTCCTTTTGGCAACACTGCTTAATACCTTTGTAGCCATTATCCCATGACAGTTTTCATCAAAGACAGGCCTCTCCAGAAGTCTGAGATGTGAGGCGAGAGAAAATCCAGACGCGTTTCACCTTAAAGCAATCACATAACCTATATTTTATCTACTTTGTGTTAATGTATTCAGCTTGTCTCAATGTATGCAAATTACTTTTGAAGAGCCTTAGTATCATCATTAGTTTGATCTCATGGGACAGACACTCACCATATTCTCTTGATGTAAGGAAGTGGAGTTTTAAAGTGAGGATTGCTTGAAATGGACTGAAAAGAAATGTTATGTAAGAGATACAAGATGATAAAGAGATGTAAAAAAGTGTATCGCAAAGATGAAGCAAAAGATGAAGAGAAAGATAAGAAGAGGATTAGAACAGAGAGGGAGAAGTAACAGTCTGGGTTAGTAGGATTGTTACTTGCATTATACATCACTGTTAAGTTATTAATTAAGCCAGTACATGCACCCACCTTGCCAGCACAGCTGAATGGTGATGGTGCACCCGATTTATAAAGACATTTTACAGCTGAGACCAAGGGAAGTAGAATTAATAGTATGTCAACATAAACTACTCTCTCCAAAGCTAGAAACCAGAGAGCCAAGTTTGTAATCAGCAGTATCATTAAGATGTAGAATCTGGTGTTGCTCCATTGGCTTTGATTGGAGCACTGACTTTTTGGAGTCGAGGAATAATTTGTTTGACCTTTTACAGCTTCATTTAATCGTTCTAATCCAGAAAGTGGATTTATATTCCTAGAAGAAGAAAAAAAAGCCCTCTGGGCGGTCCCATAGCTGCCATTTCTGCTTTTTTTTAATTCATTCTTAGTGATTTATCCTCTCTTGTTTTTGGCAAGAAGGAACAGTGGTGATTACTTAAATACGATGAAATTATCCTTTAATATAGAAAAAAGCCCATTGTGGTTTCCAGCAGACACTATAAAGCTATAACTTAGAATTACTGGCAATGCAAAGTCTGAAAGAAGAGTCAAGTAAATTCTATTTATATAGCCCAGAATCACAAATCACACTTTGTCTCAAGGGCCTTTATAATCCGTACAGCACGACAACCTTTTGTCCTCAGAAAGAATACAGAGTAGTTAAAGAGTTTTGACAACCAGTGGGTAAATCCACACATACACTCTCCATATTTTCCTTCCTTTTTATTAAGTTTACTGCTTTTGCCGACTCACATAAAGTTTTGTTCAATAGCATCATATATAATAAAAATCTAGTATAGAGTCTGCTTATCAAATCTTACTCTTTCAAGTCTCTTGAATTTAACTTTCAATCAGGGACGTATTTTGGAGGCGTGGCATTGGGTGGCGTCTGTCTACCTAGTTTGGTATCAGATGCTGTTACATTTAACACATTAATTTGGATTAATAAAAAAAAAGGAAACAGAAATTAATTTAAAGATTTGTTATGGCCACATTTTAGACTAAGTAATAGATTTAAGTTCAATGATAAACACAAATTAAAACCATTTATTGATTTTTAATTACACGTTTAGATATTTCTATTTAATGCTTTACTAGTCTGCGTGTCTTATAATAATACATCTTTATTTTGGGGGTTTTCCAAGCAAATATTGATTATGTTTAGTTTTGTATTTTATTGTTTTTTTATTGTATTGTAATGTAAATGTATCATAAGCTCCAAATGCTGAAATTTCTAAATATTACATTGATAATATTTAAAATATTGATATTAAGGTTTAACTGGGAGATTCTTGCCGTTTATTTATGTTATTTGTCACGTACAACATTAAACACAAATTCTACCATTTCATGTTGTATGGTACAGCACATTAAAGCTATTCTGCAGTCACCACTCTTGTAGTTCACACCAAAAACACTCTTTTCATTAAAAAAAGAATTGGTGGCCCAGAGCAGACACCAGCTAGCAGAGAACAATCATAGGTTTCAGCATCGATGCTAGCATCGAAATGAAACTGCTAGAACCCAGACCTACCCTGGAAGCCACTCTATAAAGCTTTACATCTTTGTCATGCAAGGTACAAGGCCCAATATCCCAAACCTACTATGATTTTGAGTCTTTCTATAGACTCCTATCAAGTCTGCTGAAATCAAAGCAAATCGGCCTAAGAGGTCCTAAAATATCTTCTTCTAGCTACATAAGGACTAGAGACATGACAATGTGGGGAAGATGTCCCCAGATACAAATTCCCAAAAGCAGGGTCCACCTTTAATTTGAGGTTTGAGGCAGGCAGAGAGGTAAAGGGATCTTACGTATTTTATAGTTATGTCTAGACTTCCTTCCCTCTGTATTTCCCCCAGGGGTTGCCAGTGTAATCCAATGGCCTGTGTAAACCAATGCTCCTAGCTTTATTGCACTGTGTGACTGTTCTCTCCCCTAAGCTAGACAGCCACACTACACACCAGTTATGCTCACACACACACACTACATGCAGTACATTTACACACATACACATGCACAGTCTTGCAGATAACTCAATGTACCCTTCCTAACTCTCCTGGAAATCCGGTAAAGACTCTGCCTGTGCAGTATGTACATGCATATCCATCTGTCTCTCTTTCCTTTCCTCTCTTGCTCTCACTCTCTCTTTTCAAACGCACACACATCACACTCAGAATCCACCCTGGAGGCCCGAGAATCTCATTTAGCACTTTAGAGAGAGGCCCAGACACTTTATTATGGCACATCGAAGGAGAAAAAGAATAGATGTTACAGTGGTACAAAGGGATGACAATAGAGAGCGAGAGAGAGGTGGAAATGATGTGTGTTTGTGTGTGTGTGTGTGTGTGTGAATGTGTGAGAGAGATGCACACAAAAGCCAAGAGGAGGAGAAATTAAAATTGGAGAAGGACCGATGATGCGAAACAGTCAACAATAAGTGCGAGGGAGAGAATTAGAGCGGCGAGGAAGATGGAGCGAGTGAGCGACAGAGAGGCGTCTTCAGGGGGTTTAGTGTGTTGTTGATGAGTAGTGACAGGTGCCAGCCAGTGGAACAAGCAGGGAGCACCTCTGTCACCAACCCTGACACACACACACACACACACACACACAATCCTGCAATGCCCCGATGCTTCCTCCCTCCTCTCCTTCTCTGAGTCTCTCTCATGCTGGGCTGGTTCAGGCCAGTCTGATTAGATTTTAGACATTTTTAGAAAGTTCATGGAACAGATAAAAGCCAACGTTCCCAGTGACAGCGTCCTTTTGAAGCGCTGTTAAATGATTCATTTAAGGGCTTTCAAGTAATATATCTGATAGTGATGGAGAGAGTGGTAAATGGGACAGGCAATGTTAGATTTTCAAAATAGGACATTTACAAACCTTTACACACATTAGAAGTCTAATAACAAACAATAAGATTAACACCTAAATCCCCAGACAAGGACAAGTTATGAGTACACACAAGTTGGCCGGGACCAGTGATTAAAATTCTCGTCTCGTCCATATTTAACTGGAGGATGCTTTGACCCATCCACCCCCTGGTGTCAAGAAGACAATTTTGTCAAATTGTCTGCAAAAATCATCTGTAGAGCAACAACTGAGAGACACTTAGACAGCAGCACACAGCGGTGCAGCGGGAGAGAGTAGCCAATCAGTCTTAACCTCGTTGTTTACAAGCCAATCTCAGCTCATCATACTGCTGGCAGATGTGTTCAGAATGCCTCTTCACTCCGAGTGAGTCATAGTTTAATATCTACATTTTATCCTTTATGTTACTTTCAATATTTGGCATTTGATTGTGCCCACAGACAAGTTACTTATGGGCAAGCAATGACTGTTTTTTGGTTGCTAGATGATTTTTGTGGTAACCTTTTTAAAAATTATTTTCATTCCACATGTTTACAGTGCATGCGCACTATTCATCCATTGTTGTGGAAAGTCACCGTGACGGGGCAAAGATTGAAGAAAAACAGGGCCTCAACTTTTACAGAGGAACAATAGAAAGAATAACAATAATTGATTAGACTCTAAAGATGCTGTTGTAACTTCATTGTAACATCATGGAGTTCTTTGGGAAAACTGAGGATGGTGAATGATGGCAGATTTCTAAGGATACAAAACAATGGCATGCTCCTCTATAAAGTACAGAACTGTTTGTATATAGAAAGCCATTAATCTCTGTGTCTGTCTCTGTTTTTCTTCAGGTCCAGGCAAATGTTGAGAAGGCACTGACGCTGTTTGGCCAGCTGCTGACAAAGAAGCACTTCCTGTTGACGTTCATACGAACCTTGGAGGCACAGAGGTGTCTGTCTTTCCTTCTTTATTTATTTATTGCTCAACTATATATATTTTTTGGTTTTAGTATTGGAGTTTATTCCAAAAGGGATTTCTACTATTCGAAAAAAAAAAAAACACTGCACTGCACAATGGGTGTAATGTTGCCTTTGTTTAGTCATGAGCGTCATAGTTACATTTTTTAATACTGTAGGTATCAGCCAAAAAAGTTCTCTGGAGGAAAAGCAAGGATTATTTGTCTTTGGAAAACATGCTTTTATCACCTGTTTAATATGATCAAATATGACATGAAAGGCTATGCCCAGGATTAGAGCAAATTGTTTATGGCAAAGGAGAGTTTGATTAAAGTTAAAAGTGCATTAATATTTAAATGAACTGTTATGTAGTTATTGGTGCACATATGTTTTAAGGAGCAGCTTCAGCAAAAGCTGAAGATGTATTTATATTGAATTTTATTATATTTTCAATGTATTATTACTATTACTATTTCCAGGTCATTTTCAATGCGGGACCGAGGCAACGTGGCATCTCTGATCATGACGGCCCTGCAGGGGGAGATGGAGTACGCCACCGGAGTCCTGAAACAGCTTCTGTCCGACCTGATAGACAGAAACCTGGAAAGCAAAAACCATCCCAAACTGCTGCTCAGGAGGTGAGGAAGAGGTGGAGAGACGTGGAACAAACATTATATATGATTTTAGTGGAATTAAATGTTTTATGTTAGTATTTCGGAACTGTTGTTGATTGAATTTGATGTCGTAAGTTCTTCTCTCAAGTTCTTTAAACTTAAATCAGTTAGTTTTGCATTACAATAGCATGAGTCAACTTTGAACAAATTATTCAAGTTCAGTTCAGGTAACTCATTTTTATTTCCTGTTACTGCATATTCTCCTAGACTTAGTGCCATTGTTACCAATGTTATTTACTGTATTGCACAGGAAAGATAGATCCTACAACATATCTGGAAAGTTCTAGAGGAACTCTGAGCAGGGGTTCCCAAACTTTTTCATGTCAAGTATTCCCACAATAGATGCACATTAGACCATGGACAACCTATTTTGTCTTAATGAATGTCCCTCTGAATATATATTTTTTTATTTTTAGGTTTGAAGTTTATATTATCTTCATAGTCAAAACTTTCAAAAGTTAAAATATGGACAATGATGTTCCAATAATAAATGAATGAGTATTTACTTATTTGGTTTGGAAGACAAATCTGAGGGTTCAACAAGATGATGACACATGAAGAAAAAGCAAGTTTAGTCTTTGTTTGTGAGAAAACGGATGCTTTTACCTCTTTAAGGCTGTGAGAATCCTTCAAATGATTGCTCATGTGCTCACTGAAGCAAACACTTTGCTTTAAGGGCTCACAAGCCAAGAAGTGGTAACCACTAGTTTAAATGGAGCACTTCTTTTAGGGACATAAATAACTAAACTGTAACCAAACTTTAAATCTATCTTCCCTGTAAGAGTACAAAATGGTGTAGCTCTTCCAAAGCAAATTGTTTTACATCATAATCATGTTACTCCATAATTTGGTTTGTTTTCTTCCTCTGTGTGTCAGAACGGAGTCTGTCGCTGAGAAGATGCTGACCAACTGGTTTACATTCCTCTTGTATAAGTTCCTCAAGGTAAGCCCCAAAACAAGGCGCAATCATATAATATTCTCTCAACATCTGTTTGCTGTACCTTTTAAACACTGATTAATAGTCATCATCTAAAGTGGATTTATATTGTGCTGTGTTTTTAAATGCATTTACACAGCCTGTGTGTTAGAGTTTTATTAAATGCCTCTGGCTTGTATTATTTCCCCATTGCATTTATCTCACTGAGCTTATTAAAAGGGTTTTCCTGTTTCAACTGCATATTTTCTTGCCTCACCAGTGCAGTATACATACAGTAGATCATCAAAGCCTCCCCGCAGCACACGTTCTTTCCTTCCTCTGCTGTTTTAATGTCCTTTTTTAGTCCTCTCCACTCTCATAATATCACTCTTTTAGCTAACTTGTCCTCTTCACTGATCTTCATGTCATTCCTTTAGCTTACTACTCCTCTTCCTCTGATCTCTCTTTCATCTTTGTGGGTTTTCTCTTGTCATTATTCCGCCGTCAGTCTCCCCTCTGCCTTAAGGTCATTAGTCTCACCAGGGGTGTGTGATGGCGCTCACACTGTTCTCACGCCCCCCCCTTCTTTTCCTTCATCCTCGCCACTCCTCGTCCCCTCTTCCTGTCTCTCGCTTTTACAGTCCAGTCAGAAAGGGTTTGCTGCCATTATGACCCTAATCACATTGTGAGTTCCATATGGTAATTGCTAACATGAGAGTCACACAGTAAGTAAAAACAATGGTGTAGAATATGGCATAAATAATGGGTGTAATTCTTTCATTTTGATGATGATACAAAGCATGCTCATATGTGTGCATGTATAATGTGCTGATATAGTATCAAAATGCAGCAAAAGTAACTTTATTTCCTAGAAAATAATAAATATACAACGTCTCTTGTGCATTGCTGATTTATAGTTTCTGATTGTTAGCGATGTAGGAATCTAAGCCCGTTCCCCTCTCCGTACCGCCAGAACCATCATTATATCCCTGAAATGTAAATGTCAGCATACAATTAGGGAGCCTTAATGAAGCCACTATATAGGGTAAATCTCGAAGACAAGCATGCAGCGGCCGGCGAGGACGGCGAAAGCCAGAGCAAAAACACAACAGTGTGATGTATGCTCGCTCTGCCTCGTTAGCAGCTGCCCACCTAATTGGCCCAGATGCTAACGAGGTTCTTAAAGCGCACAGCGGTCGAATGAGGAAAGGGGAGAGAGAGGGGGAATGGTTGGCGGGATAGGCGGGAAGGAAGCGAGGAAAGGGGTTAGAGGTAGGCGACAGGGGTGGTGGGGAGAGGGAGGAAGAATGGGGAAACGTGACAATTAGGAGTTAAGGAAGGGGAAGAGAAGCAAGCGGGAAGGAAGAAAGAAGAAGAGGGAGAGGAAAGTAATGAAAGAAAAAAAACGGTGAAACTAAAGAAGACAGTAGGAGAGACAGTGGTAGCAGGAAGGTTTTTGGTTGGATGGGGTCATGGAAAATGGATAATGAGGGGAAAATGAAAAAGATGGACAGAACAACCTTGTGTTTTTTCAGCACAAGTTTATATTAGTTGTAGTTTTTGTTACTTTGTCCAGAACATTGAGAACATTAGTTTGTAAGAGATAGATAGATAGATTTTTGTATCATTGATTTCAAGGGGAATCTGACTGAATCTGACCTACTGGCAGGCGTTATGAATAACTACAGTCTTCTCGCGGATGGTCTTGTTTGTTTATGTAGGTCATACAGAGGCATCAGCATTGAACCGAGACTGTTTTATAACCAGTTAAAAACTCCTTGTAGTACATTTAAGCAGAAGAAGGGAGTGGAAAATTTAAGACAGGTACACTCATCTGGCATTACGACATCATACAAATGTCCTGCACTGTCTTGTTTCCATATCAAAGGCCCCTTTGTGATTAAAGTCATCAGATATCATGAAACAAGGCGAACACTATCTGACCAGAACCGGCAGCTGCTAGCCCAAAGGCTGACATTTACTGGCTTGACCTGTTAAAGCTCATTAGAACCCAATAGATTAGCATCATATGTATTCATTTGAAAGCAGCTACATGAAGATATACTCTATGTGTGAATATAAGAGATAGAGAGATGAAGAAATTGTTGAGGAGAATGAAATAACAGTCAGGGGTTGAGGACTGGTATTACAGGGAGAGAGGAAGAAAAAACAGAGGAATGGGTGTGCTGGAAAAAAAGAGTGAGTTGTAGAGTGTGTGTGAAGGTGAGAGAGATAAATTAGTACTTTCCCCTGTTCTCACCTGGACCTCATGCATCTCCAACACACACACAGTCTGAAGTATCTCCCTGAGCACTGCACGGTCGATCATTAAGCTCTCGTCGGGATGAGTATCGGCCGTGATGTGTCCTCTCTCTCCCCTCTAAACTGCTGCTACTTCAGTCGGGAGTGTTTTCCTTGGGCCCAAGTGATGACTAATGACACTATTGATTGGCAAGTGTTTTTGATGGAGGGGCGAGTGGGAAACATATTTATAACATCTGTGTCTGGTCGCATAAGCTCTGAGATGTAAACGGTGGAAGAGAAATTAAAGGATTTATATATAAAGGCGCGTTCAGTCAGTCCTCCAGGCTGAAAGAGAAAGAAAGAGATTACCCAAGGTTGATTCACCCACTTGTAATTTCTAGAAGATTTTCAAGATTTCTAAAATGCTTTGCATGTTCCAGGCTGGATTCTGACAGCAGTGTCAGCCTGACCGTTTCTAAATCTGCCTTTGACGATTTGATAATACTATTATACAAATTCTGATCACTTTAATGCATTTATCGCCTAATGAAACGTGAGGTAAAGTAGACAGAAAGAGAGAGAAGATCGATAAAATTTAGTGGGTGTGGAAGTAAAAGATATGCAAGCTGGAGAACATTTTACAATGTTAATCTGTTATCTCTTATTAAAAAGATTTAAAAAAGAAATAATCAACTGAGTCACTGCATCAATGCATTTCACTCATTTGTCTCCGCTTACAGGTGGTGTCCAGGCCGAAAATCCACAAAGGAGAACTACTGCGAAGTGGTTTTGTTTTTGTTTATGAAGAGACGAAGCAGACCGACATTTTACACACATCTCACATATTACCTTAGAAACGGCCATGAATTTGTCCAAGAATGTCATGAATAGTTTAACTAAAGTGGAAGATTTCTGTCACTAGACGCAGACGGGGATATTTGCTGAGGGTTTGCAGCCCTTTTTCAGGCGCAGTCAACAGTCAAGGAATTTGTCCTTATTTACTAAAAGACCACACTGAGGTTTTGTGTTGTAGGAAACACACAGCTAAAAAGTGTATATTTGGTCTCATGCAACAGATTTTAAGGCATTTCTGTTCAGAGGCACAAAATGTGGGAGGAGGGAATGAAAATTAATACTAAGCTTGCAACACCTGATTCGTCACCGGAATACTGACTGCTGCTGCAGAGAAAGTTTAGTCTGAAATGTTAACATCTGGGAAAAGGAGGTGTAAAATCTGCAGTTTTAATGACGCATAAGGAAGATGTCACATGTGTTTTGCTGAGCTCTCTGCACACCATTTTACCACAGTGGCCACCTGCTTATATTCCTGACTTTCAATGTTTCACTGCAGTCCAGTGTGATATGATTGAATCAGCCAGCAATACTTTAAGTATGCAGTCATAACTGTTCAATTCAAACTGTTTCAAAAATTACTTTGCAGGTGATTGAATGATCCATCTGTCTTTCACAGTCTATCACGGCCCAGTCAGATCAATGATCCATATTACGTAGTCTAACTCTACATATACATATACATACATACACATTATATGAATCATTCTTTGCTCTTCTTTCATGAAGAACTACTCTCCAGTTCTGATGGAACTGATGCTAGCAGCATCCACGCTAACCTCTTTATCAGCCACCATTGTTGTTTTCAAGCTAACAGTCACACTTCACACACACACCATCACACATACCTAGTGTTAAACCATCCGTAGCTCATGTCCAGTCCAGTTATTCATTTGCAGAAAAAGCAGATCTGGATATGGACTATACTGTATTTTAGAATTTTTTTGCTGTATTTTTCCCGAACAGAGAGCCAGAACCAGAAGAGAGTATAAAGTGATTCATCGAGGGAAAAAATCTAAAATGCTATTTTTTTTTTAGGATTTTCTCTAATCTTTGTTTTTCTTGTGAATTACTGGACAGGTTTCCCTCCTCAGGCCTCTAACTGTTGTTCAAATGAAATTGTTCAAATGAAAGACGGTTGAACTGCTGGCAACGCCTCTCTTTCTGTCTTCCTCCTCACCAGGAGTGTGCCGGGGAGCCTCTGTTCATGCTTTACTGTGCCATCAAGCAGCAGATGGAGAAGGGACCCATAGACGCCATCACAGGAGAAGCCCGCTACTCCCTCAGCGAGGACAAGCTCATCAGGCAGCAGATTGACTACAAAACACTGGTCAGTAAACTTATTGTGTCTTGAGGCTCGTCTGCTTTGGTCTGAGTCACTTGATGGGTTGCTAAGCTTTAGTCACATTTAACAATGATGAAGATTTTAAAGCAAACTAACTGATCAGCAGCTGAAATGTGGCAGCCGCCTATTTGCTTAATTGGTCAGGAGTCTGCTGTGGGGAAGGATTTCTTCCAGGGTAAACATGGAGCTTCAGCATCAGTTGTGTTTGGAAGGAGAACGTGATCTGGCCATGAACCGACCCGACTACGGGCCAGCGTTAATCACACTCTCTCTCCAAACAAAGCACTTCAAGTTTGGATTGGAAACATACACACAAACCTACTTGTCCGCAGGATCTGCTACAGTTGTTTTGTGCGTAAGTGCGAAAGTTGAGTTATTATAGCCCCTAACAGACTGAACAGACTAGGAAAATGTCCAGCTTTTAAAATAGTTGCTGCAAACAAACTAGGTGTGAAGATGCTGTCGGGTACATTCAAATGCACCTGAACAATCATCCAAACATCTCACTAGTTGGCTCTGTTCTTGCAGTGTTTCTGCCTAAGCCTAATTTCTTTTGTCTGTTTCCATTTCCCTTTGTTTCCTTTGTTTTTCTGCCAGACGCTGCACTGTGTAAACCCAGAGAATGAGAATGCCCCCGAGGCGACGGTCAAGTGTCTGAACTGTGACACTATCACACAGGTCAAAGAGAAGCTGCTGGATGCTGTGTACAAGGGCAGCCCCTATTCACAGAGACCCAAGGCTTCTGATATGGACCTAGGTAAGATGTAGAGTACTGCATATTCTAACTGTATCAGACATGAGCAAAGGTGTAATTAGAGTGGGCAAAAAGCTCAGCGCACTACAGCTTAAAGACCCGTTTTAGCTTGAACACACCCCCTTCACATATTGAAGCATTTATTTAAATTCAAAGGGCGAGGTTTAATCCAATTACATAAGCCGCTAGCTGACGTTAGTGAAGCTTCAGCAGATGCAGCGGAGGTAACAGAAAGGAATTAAATACTTTTAATTATTAATGAATTAATACGCTTAATATCAAATTACAACTCCAAACTCTACATCGACAGGAATTGATTTCTGTTGGTATGTTTTACAGGGGGGCATTACCTGTCTTCCTGGGCAGTTTTTTTTTTTTTTTTT